GCCATTACTTGGGCTATCCAATTCAGAGCCAAATGTATCAGTAGAAACAAAAAATTTAGAGCAGATCCTGAATGGAGGCGAATCACCTAAACCAAAAGGACAAGAAATCAAAAGGCCATCTGGTGATGTTCTTGAAACATTCAATTTCTTAGAAAATGCTGGTGACAGTGAGGAAGATGAGGAAAATGATATGATTGAAGGCATCCCAGAAGGAAAAGACCAACATTGGATGAATAAACACAAAACAGGCAATGAAGGTTTAGCTGCTGACCTCACTGATGACCCTGGTACTGAGGAAGCTTTGAAAGAACTTGATTTTTTAGTGACTGCCGGAGATGGTGAAGGAGCTGAGAAGCATGGAGTTCAGGGGATGGCACAGAATGGGCTGAACCAATAACGCTTCCATCTGGAGGAGCCAAGTCATTTATTATGGGTTCTGATGATGTTTTGGTAAGTGTACTGGGCCTTGGGTTCTGATGATGTTTTGGTAAGTGTACTGGGCCTTGGAGACCTTGCAGACTTGGCGGCAACAAATGATGCAGACTATAGTTATGATTTGCCTGCCAATAAAGATGCCTTTCGAAAGACGTGGAACCCCAAGTATACCCTGCGTAGCCATTTTGACGGAGTACGGGCATTAGCCTTCCACCCTGTAGATCCTGTGCTGGTTACTGCCTCTGAGGACCATGCTCTGAAACTTTGGAACTTGCAGAAAACGGTTCCTGCCAAAAAGTGCCTCTTTAGATGTAGAACCTATCCACACATTTAGAGCCCACATTGGCCCTGTCCTGTCATTAGCCCTCAGCTCTAATGGGGAACAGTGTTTTAGTGGTGGTGTTGATGCAACCATTCAGTGGTGGAATATGCCGAGCCCGAATGTGGATCCATATGATACATACGAGCCAAATGTCTTAGGTGGCACTTTAGTTGCTCATACAGATGCAGTCTGGGGTCTTGCTTACAGTGGCATAAAGAATCAGTTACTGTCGTGTTCAGCAGATGGCACTGTTAGGTTATGGAACCCACAGGAAAAACTGCCATGCGTCTGCACTTACAATGGAAACAGGGAGCATGGAATACCTACGTCGGTTGACTTTATAGGCTGTGATCCAGCTCAGATGGTGACCTCTTTCAACACTGGTAGTACAATAATTTATGATTTAGAAACATCACAGTCATTGGTGGTACTTTCATCACAACTAGATTCTGGTTTACAATCCAGTAATCACATCAACAGAGTAGTAAGTCATCCACACTTCCTGTTACAATAACAGCCCATGAAGATAGACATATCAAATTTTTTGACAATAAAACGGGTAAAACAATCCATTCTATGGTAGCTCACTTGGATGCTGTTACAAGTCTAGCAGTTGATCCTAATGGAATCTACTTGATGTCTGGAAGTCATGACTGTTCCATTAGATTGTGGAATTTAGACAGCAAGACATGTGTTCAAGAAATAACAGCTCATAGGAAGAAATTGGATGAATCCATTTATGATGTTGCTTTCCACCCATCAAAAGCATATATCGCCAGTGCAGGAACTGGTGCCCTTGCTAAAGCATTTGTGTGATACACCAAAAACTTGTATCATTATGAAAGGCTTGCTTGGACAGAAAGAGGGTCTGCATCACTGCCATCGAAAGTTTGCTGATAGGACACTACATGTGATTTGCCTGGGTGGGAAGGCTTTTGGGGGCAGACATAAATTGGTCGGAATCACATCATAAATAATGTCAGGTTCATTAATTTAACTATAATGACTATTTTGGGGGACAGAGAAAAAAGACTCCAGTATTTGCAGCCTGTGCTGGAGAGGACAGAGAAAAAAGACTCCAGTATTTGCAGCTTGTGCTGGAGAGGACTGAGCATATATATGTCTGTTTCTTTGGTGTCTTTAAGCCAATTTGGAGTCTGGTCTTTCTTACAAGAAGACTTTTCCTTTGGACTCTGTGTGCGGCCTTAGGGTGAGGACTGTGGTGCTCTTGTTGGGGGAGTGAGCTCCAAGAGTAGCTTTCTCTCATCTCTTAGCGATCTTCTGTTTATTGGTTGGATGCCAGATTCCCTTTTAAATTTATTTTGCTTTAAAAAAAAGACTTTAACTTAAAATAGTTTAGCATTAGTTGCACAAAATGTTTGGATAAAATTCTAGTTTTTATAAGTCTTTTTATATATTTAGCCTGTCACAACAGTGCTTAAGATTGTATTGAAGTTTTTCTGCATTATACAACCCTAAAACACAGAGATCTCACTGACCTGCTGCCGTGTAACCACACACTTTCCTTCTTTCACCTAATACAGCTCAGCTGAGTCCTTCCACAAAGATGCTAAACCTTCATTCATCAGCTCATTACTGTCTTCATAAACCAAGGACTATTCAAGTGTATTAAAATGAAACAGTGGGGTGTAGTGCTCCAGATGAACTCTTAAAGAAAAGAAGCAAACTAATCTTGGCATCCTATCACTATGTGATATTTGTACATCTTACTGTATTTACAAGTTTATTTATCAAGGATTATCCATCTTGCTAATGGCCTATTATTTATTTCACTTTTTGTTGGTCCTTATATCCTTTTATTAATGTGCCAAAGGGCTTTGTATATCTACTTTGGGACCCTGAATAGTCTAAAATAGACTAAAAATGGAATATTTTATAGTTTAAGTTGTAAGCCATGGTGGTGACCCCCAGATAAATATCTTGATTTACCACGATTCCAAACAAACTATCTTGTTTAAAAGTATTCGGAGTAAAAACTTTATTTGCATTACAAATGTGATACAAAAATTGTTGAAACAAGAGACAGAAATCTGCTGTGTTTGGACTGGTCATCCCTGTTTTTATTTTTTCAGATGTGCTTAATTTTATGGTGTAACTAAGGATTTTGTTTGTGTAATGCATGATTAAGACAATACAGTATTTTTTCTAGTCTTCCAAAAACTTTTCTGATCAGTTTGCGAGTTTTGATGCGTTTTGTAAGGTTTTTGTTTTACAAAACTATGATTCAGCAAATTTTTAAGATTGTACCACATAGCAAACCTCCTACAGCTGTTGAAAAATAATGTATATAAAATGCATATAATAAATAATAAATTGTGTACCTGTAAAAAAAAACAAAAAAACCCACCAGTCACTTTGAGAGAGAAAGACAGGGCTTTCTACTCCTATAAAGACTTAGTCTCACAAACACAGAATCAGTTCTACCCTGACCTATGGGGTCACTATGACTCAGCAGAACTCAATGGCATTAAGCTTGGAGGGGTTTGTTTGTTTTTTTAAATTTTGATCAATAGAATTATATTATGCCCTACGGGGGTGGGTGATTTATGATGTCTCTAAAGTAAGTCGGAGACATAAGTAAACCATAGATATATGTCTGGACTTAGGGCTCAGGCTCAATCATAGCCCTAATCTAAGAACAAGTAGATTGTATTTTAGATACCCTCATGAAGAGATCACTGAAGATATGGGTGCTATAGCAACGTGTGAAGAAACCAGACAGTGCTGGCTATCAGAAAGAATATTGTTTGCAGTCGTAATGGCTTGTCTTCAAACAAGATGACATCTAATTGTAGCCTCAACTAAGTTCACATGGAAGAAACACAACACGCTCTCTGATCCAAGGATTGTAATAATAAAAGCCATGTCTGCAAGAGGGAATGGTATCAGAGCTCACACTGTGAATACCCAGTTTGCAGAAGGCTATGGGTGACCATGGAAGTCTAAATCCATTTGCAGAGTTCCCACAGAGGTGTAAGCCTCAAGTGAATGGCCTCCGAACATAGTCAGGGGATGTGAATAGCCTTGCTTTCAGAGAGCGCATTGTAAAATTGACTGTGGTAGATGTAGTTAGGTTAAAATGTAATGCCTTATCATTTGGACTCCCTTTTGACCCATTTTAAAGTTGTTTCAGCTTTTAATATTTTCTCCTTTCTTTTTGATTGAGGCCTTTTAAAGTTTTGTATAGGCATTATTATTGGTTTTATTTGTTTGTTTGCTTCCTGCTTGTGTTTTGTATGATTATATGTATATGAAATCCAAGGTAGGTAGTTCTATTGAGACAGTTACTGGATTGATGACTGCCTCGAGGCATAGCAGGGGAGGCTGGGGAAAATGGAGCAGCTACAACGAGTACGAGAAGAAAATGTTCTGAAATTGATTGTGGTGATGATTGCACACATCTTCTTGATATGACTGAACAATTAAGTTGTATGATATGGAAAGTATATGCTAATATAAAATTGAAAAAAAAGATCTATAGTCTTGGAAACTCACGCTGTCCTATAGGGTTGCTATGAATGAGAATCAAGTCGGTGCCAATGAGTGAGTGACTGAACTCATTATTTCTCTTGTGCTTTTCTTTTTATGTAAATAAAAGTTCAATGTGTTAAAATATTTCAACAACCATAAAATAAAAGAGCTGATAAGAGAGTGTGCATCATATCATAGTTTCTTTGCAACCATTTGTCTTTCTTCGGGACTTTATAGACTTGCAAAAGTGTAATTACCATTACTAGATAAAGTATCACTCAATTTTAAAATGCATATTTCTAGTCACCCTAGAGTCTAATACAGAAAAGTGAGCTTGTGATAAGCACCACTTTAGAACCTGTAATTAATACTTTCCATTTGGCTCTAACGTTGGAAAAAGCACTGGGTTTTTCACCCGCAGAGTCTTACTGCTTGTGTGTCTGGTTGAACATTATAAAGACTTCATTTGTATTCCTTTTCAGCTTCTCTGGAGAACAGTGGCCTCTCCTTCTGAAATCCCAATAGCCCCACAGCAAATATCATAAGCATAGTTCATATGTTCAACCATGTGTCAAATATGGTATAATAAATATACAAGATCAATTTGTCTATTTAGCAGTGTGCTGTCATATACTATGCGTCTTCCAAGTAGCAGATATCGTTGTGTGTTAACCTTGTTACTTCCAAGGCACAGAGAATGACAAGGTTCCTGATGGCACCCTATCTAATCTCCTCTTGTTCCTTGTTACAGGCAGAGTTCACTGTCCAAATAGCAGTGCTTTACAAGAGGTTCGCAACTGTAATGAGCATCCTTGTACTGTGTACCACTGGCAAACTGGTCCCTGGGGTCAGTGCATCGAGGACACTTCAGTTTCGTCCTTCAACACCACTGCAACTTGGAATGGGGAAGCTTCTTGCGCAGTCGGCATGCAGACAAGAAAAGTCATATGTGTACGAGTCAATGTGGGCCAAGTGGGACCCAAAAAGTAAGGACTTTAGAATGCTAACAGTAAATCCTGCGATCAAGCGTGCAGAGCATCCACTCAGGTTTCCCTTGTTTCGTGAAATGGGACATTGTGAAGCTTGTCATGCCTGCCCACAAGAATAAGATGTGTTTGCTTTCAATGTCAACCGTTTAGACGATAAATTAAGTGTTTTGTGTCTGGGATTCATAAATTTGTGAGGAAGTGAAGGCACCTTCTTTCTGTTTTATAGTATCATTTACCACTTTTATTAAGTTAGTGAAGCAATGAAAGAAGTGCTAGCTTTGGGCTTGACAGATCAGTAATGACACTATGTGAAAGTCCTGACAGTGTAGGTCATCCATGACCTCCTATGTGCCCGCCGGCTATAGAGGCTGCCAATCTAGTTTAATTGGGTAGTAGCCTTCTAAGATCTGCCTTTCAATTTCTCTAGTAAATGCTATATCAAAAATACTGAGGCCAAAGCTATTACATCTTCCAATGGTTAAAGGAGCAAGCCATTTACTTCCAAGAGAAAGCTTTGGGGTAAGACCAGTGTTACATGTATAGAAACTATCTGTTTCTCATTGTGTTGTGAGTACTATAATAGTGGCAAATAGTTTGCTAGAGGGAAGGACAAAAGATCAGAGAGTTGGTATGTTGTCCAGGCGTTTCTAAACAAAAACAAGTAATTGAGCATTCATTGCTGGACTAATCAATATTTAGAAAACATTAATTAAAAGCAATCAACTCTAAAATATATTTCTTTAGGGGGATAAGCTACTTCTCTTTCAAAATTTAGACAATGTAAACTTCTACAGTTCAAACCATCTTAGTCACATATAGGAAGAAAAGTTAATCAATTTTTCAAAGGCGTAAAAATGATCCCATATTTTCCAAAGTCCCGGTCATGCAGTCTTGTGCATGACCTTCAATGTGTTAATAGCTTCTTCAGTCTCAGTTTACAAAGTGTGTTGAAAGGATTAAGTGAAAAAAGTAAGAATGGCAACACTTGGTAAATGCTAGATGTTCTTATTTTCTCTTAGCAATTTAAGGTACTTCTTAGTAATAATATATTTGGTGTATGAAAATCTCCAGTGGGAGACATAAGATTTTCATTACAAGTTGTTTTCTTTCCAGATGTAGAGACATTAGTGATATTTTGCCCAATGCTCTATTTCTTTGCATAGTTTGGAATTAAGAAACATTAAAAAATATGCCATAAGAGATTTGAATAAATTGAGATAACATTGTAGATGCTTAACCAATATGTTGATAGAAATTATAATATTGTTATGGTAACTCTGGAATTAATGCCATGTCTTGAAGTTTAGTCATGGTAACCACAGGAGAAGAAGGCTCAAGCCCTGGAGGATTCTGGGTCTTGCTGAGCCAAGCACAGAGGTAGGGAAATTCACTGCCGAGGACTATAACCTGTCTGACTTGTCTGTGCAGCAGAATGGTAGGTCAGGGCCCTAAGATTCTGTGTAAACCCCCCTGTAGTTCCTGTTTTTAATTAAACATTTTCAAATGTAGATTTGATATGTTCTTCATTACATAAATTACAAAGTGTTTTGCTCAGTAACGGCTACCAGTAAGCCAGTACTTTTGTACAAGTTTATGTGTGAAAGAGCATGCGGGATTAACCAACTGCCTTCAAGTGATTTCTGTAGGACAGAAGTTTCTTCTGCCGGAGCGCACACGTCAGCTTTAGGGTCATAAACCCAATGCTTAACCCACTCTGCCACCAGGGGGTCCTTCATGCTGGATTAGCTTCATTAAATCACCCATCACGTCTGAGGACTGCAGTGATCCATTGAACTTCTACTTTACCTTTGCAGCCATTATTCAATGACCTGAATGCATGTATGGATTTGTTCCATAGATTTACTTTGCCCTTTAAAATCTGGAAAAGGAGTATTCAAAAAAAAAATATTTTTGCCCTTCTTCCTGAATGCTGGGTTAAATTCAATGAATGCTTTTTTAATACCAGACATTTGAAACAAAAAATGCAAATAGAAACCTTGTTTTGAACTCTTCTTAATAAAACAGATTACTGTGCAATGGTGAAATCAATGTTATTGATCTTATCTATCCTCTGAGTAACAAACTTCAACTCCTATCACATCTGTTTAATTTGACCTTGAATAATATTTGGGAGAAAATCAATTCCATGATTTAAACCACTAACACAAAATACAAACAGTGTAAAGAAGAAAAGAAACATGTTGACTGATCCAATTGCTTCTCCAAAGGAAGTTTGAATTAGTTTTATTGGATGTAATCTAAGCTGTATAATTTATTATTGTGTGTTCATTTAACAACTTCATTGTTAGCAATTTTGTTCTCCGCAGTTAGCCTAGTATCTTGCTATGGACATTTCAAAATAAAATGGAATATTGGAGGTTTCAATGATAACACAGTAATTCTACTGATTTAGTCTGGGCTAAAATTTGAAGAGCCTTTACCAGTAATTGAGTAATGCTCTCCCATTGTTAATGTTATAAAATTGCCTTATAGAAAAGGAGTGATTTTAGGAGTAATTACTAACCAATAATACCACAGTTAGAAAAGAATTAACTAGATTATATGTGGAGTTATGCCAGATAATGTTTACTGGATTAAAATACCAGTTAAATTTACTACTGGTAATTTACAATCTCAATAGTAGTAATACATTAAATTTGATAATTCACATGTAAATTTTTTGTAGTCCATAACTTTGAGTGGTCATAAAATAAGAGGAAATCCAAATTTATCCTTAGTAGTAATCTAGGAGATTATTTCCTTTTGAAATGATGAAGCCTATGTATTTGTAAAATCCATTTACAAATAAGCCCCAATGGCCTAAAGAGACAAAGTATGCATCTATGTAACTGGTTAGAGCATAATATTTCTATATGAACTAGGGCATGTATATAAATAATGAAGTACTATAAAGAAATAAGAGATTAATAGTATTAGTACTTTCTTATTTATAAGAAAACCTATTTAACATACTTGCTTAATTTGTCATTTTTCTGACCCACAAAAATATGTACTTCTCCCATGCAAACTATTTTTTAATTCCACTTTTCACTTGTTAGTCACCATATTCTAACTGTGTTCAACTATTCGAACTCTTATTCAAGAGTTACATTTATTATTTAGTTTATTTCTTAGATTCTTTCACAGGCATGAATTGAGACGCAAAGGGACTTCTTAGGAATGAGCACCCATTCTTCTTCCAGGTCTCCCCAGCCCTAGGCCACAGTCTTCCGCCTTTTCCATCACCTTCTTTTCCTAGAAATTTGAGTTTTCCTTTTCTGATAGGTTTCCACCTGACACAAGTCCAAGCTTCCACAGATTTTACTCTGAAAATTACTTTTACTTACTCAAACTGTGCTAGTGCTTGTCATCCTTCTATAAATCTTCTGCCAATGGAACGTTGCTGGCCAACATTTCTGCACTAATACCAAAATGAGATCATGAAACCACAGGGAAGAATTGGGGAAAATCATCAGCATTTGACAAACAAGACAATACACTTAAGTCTCATATATCAACTTCCTTAAATGATAATTTAATAAATATAAACCACTTCAGTGGTTTGTTATTCCTAACTTAATCTGTGATCCCAAGAACTTAATCTGTGATCCCAAGAACTTAATCTGTGATCCCAAGCAATAACACTTAACGGAGATGCATAAATTTGAGGAGAGAGAAAATCCCACCATCTTTTTATTCCATTTTTTACATGAACTTTTTGAGCCATCCTCCAATTTGTGTTGTTTTTCCCCCACAGTCATAAGAAATTACTTTAATATTTGTATACATTTCCCCCAGTACAAACATTATTCTTAATGTATCCTGGACTTCTTTTTCATGTCAAACAAAGGAGAAAGCTAACCATTTACAGCATTTATCCCAAACTCAGCAGGGGCTGTGCCACTGTACCCTGATCAAAATACGCCATTCCCTAGATAGGCTATCATAGTAAATGCATGGTTAAAAGCATGTTGCATTTGGATAATACTCATTTAGCAATTTTTACCATAGTTCATGTTGAGCACACAGTATTTTACTTTCTAATCAAATATTTAACTTTCATCTTTATTTCATGGCACTAACAGCTAAGGGTTCGATTGTGAACCAAAAAGTTGGCAGTCAAATCCACAGGAAAAAATACCTGGTGATCTGGATCCACGAAGATTAGCACTAAGAAAACCCAATGGCGCAGTTCTGTTCTGTCATAGAGAGTCAAAACCAACTCTACGTCACCGTCACCGTAACAGCAGCAATGCATTCTACTGACTCTACTTGTTCTAACAAAGATAGTGGTGCTTAGAAAACTAGTCAACATCTCATAAATTAAAACTAGGGGCACCAAGAAGAAAAACAATAGGATTCGAGATGCTTAGATAAATAAAGGATAAAGCAAAAGCTGTTTATTAGATTTATGTTACTTATTTAGTATGAAACACACCATGTACCATGTATAGCTACAAATTTGATATCTTCGAAGATGTAAATTATTATGTTTGTTTTATGCCACACATACTCTGTAAAAACAAATGGAATGACTAGAAACATATAATAGACATTAAGCCAAGTTAGGAATAAAATTGACTTCTTAAATTGATCATCTGAATTCCCACAATGTTTCCTATGTAGCATATTAGAAATATATATATTTTAAAATAGAATATTAAGGAACAAAGTAGAATGATTATATTTTGTTTTGGGTAGTATTATTGGAAGCAAATTTATATATCCTACTTGATGACGCTTTCCGGAGGTTCAGTTTGAAAGAATGACGTAGTTGTAGAGTTCTTGTCTAAACAAGAGAGGCTCTGGGCGTCACATAGCACAGTTTGGGGATTGTGTATCAATGGTAATCCAAATGATATTAAGTGGTCTGAGTTTCTGGCTACGAAGGAGGACTAGTAATTTCCATTTGCCTTTTCTAGGTGTCCTGAAAGCCTTAGGCCTGAAACCGTGAAGCCTTGCCTGCTCCCTTGTAGGAAGGACTGCATCGTGACCCCCTATAGTGACTGGACAGCATGCCCCTCCTCGTGTAAAGAAGGTATGGTCTGCCAACGTTTGAAGGCTATGCACCTGGAAAACACATTCGGTAGAATTTCCAAGTCCTCTAGCTGACTTCGGTTCATGATTCTTACACAAGATGTTGTAAATCTCTGGTGTGCCCTAGAAAATAACTTCAGAGTATCAAGTAACTTTTCTTTTTATTGTCTAAAAATTAACTGCTAATATCACTTCATTTCTTCATAGTCAGCAATCAAATTGTACTTTCTTATAGGTGAATATTTCTATGGTAATTATTGGTTATTTGTCACTATATACTTTCACAATGACAAAAATTATTCATTGTAGGAAATTCTTTTCCTTGAAAATATTATTTTAAACCTTTTATACTGAATACTTTTCATTAGGACATAAAGTCATTTACTAATAATTCAAAAACATATACACATTCATTTATACCTAAATGATTAAGAATCTAACATTTTTACAGTTTACCAAAAATATTTAAAATCTAAGAAACTTAAGCATGACATTTAAAAAAAATAGACCTTTAAGTCTTTCCTCATTTTAATTACATCCTTTTATTGTGTATGGTACTTTATAATTAAACTTGACATAGTCTAGAGTATTTAAAAAATAAAATAAGAAAGAGAAATGAGCCACTAACCTAATTCTTAAAAAATTACTAGCAAAATATTTTCCTCATTTTCCCCTCTTTCTTTAAAAATAATTTGGGATATTGAAATATATTCAGATATTAGGAAGAAGTTAGGTAGCTAATGAAGTTTGTACTATAAATTTTTTGAAAATGCCTTTGTGATATATTATGTACCATACATGTTTTTAAAAAAATGATAAATTACTCATAAATGCATCATAATTGAAAATCAAATAAGATCATTTTAAATTTGATCTCTGCTGATGAATTTTAGTTTTCAAAAAGTAGATTATTCTTATTTCAAATT